AAATGCTGCTGCTGTTGCTGCAGCGAAAGCAAAATGCGGGACCCACAGGAGGCTACCTGGCATTTCAGACCTACAGAACCTTCCACGATGTCCCACAAGAGAAGCCGCAGCAGAAGCAACTGCAGCAGCAGCAACAGCAGCAGCTACGACAGCAGCAGCAGGAGCAGAAACAGCAACAACAGCACCAGCCAAGCCAACAGCAGCGCCAGCAACAGCAGCTAAAGCAGCAGTTGCAGCAAGAAGGGCTGCAGCGACAAGCCCATCCGCAGCAGCAAACGCAGGAGGAGGGGCAAAAGCTGCCTGATGATGGCTGCGACATGTGTCCTTCCGTTCGCTTGAGTCGAATCGTCTTGCTAAATAAAGTGACGAGATTTGAAGTGTCCCTGGCGGAAAAGATGAAAATGTGGAGGCAGCAGCACCTCTCCGGCTGCAGCAGCGACAGCAGCAGCAGCTCTGATGGGCCCGCTGTAGCAGGAGGAGGTGGGGAAGCTGCAGTAGGAGGAGCAGCAAGTGCAGCGGCAGTAGCAAAAGCCGCTCCAGCAGCAGATCTGTACACTCCTGGTAGTCGTGCCTACGAGGCAGCAGCAGCAGCAGCAGAAGCAGCAGCAGCTGCAGCGTTGGCCCGCGACTACCCCACAGCCTACCGCACTCATCTGCTGCACCAGCAGGCAGCAGCTGAACTGTACAGACAGCTCAGGGAGGACTACGGCCTCCACGTTACCCTCATAAAAGCCAGAACTATTCAAGGACAAAAACTGAGCAGGAGAGGAGATGTGGCACTGCCACCAGATGCAATTATTTCCGCAGGTCAGAGTGGACTGATGCTAGGACATAGGCTTAAGGGCGCAGCAATTAGGGTTTAGGGTTTAGTTCAGGGTTTACGATTTAAGCTTTTTCCGCTGCGCGTAGGCGGTGATGGAACTTACCTGGAAGCAGCCTCAATCATTCCTGGCCATTTGGAGGGGTCTCCCAAGGGCCCCTGGATATTTGGTGTGAACACAGACCCCACGAGGTCCGAGGGTAGACTGTGTGTTAAACCTAGCAAGCATGGCAAGCAGCAGCAGCAGCAAGAACCGCAGCAGCCGCTGCAGCAGAAGGGGCACGAGGAGGGGCAGAGGCACGGCCAGAAGTCGCACCAGGAACATGAGTGTCACGAGCAGCAAAAACTCAAACTGCAGCAGCAGGAGCATCTGCAAGGACAGCAGCAGCAGCAGCAGCAGCAGCAGCAGCGCTCGCCGGCTCTGGGGTATCCTCTCACATTTCGAACCCCTCGCGTGCCGAGCCATGGCATGCCTTCCTCTGCTGCTGGCAGCAGCGCAGCCTGCTGCGGGAGTCCACTGCTTGCTGCAGCTTTGACTCCTCCTTCTGGGGCTTCTGCAGCTGCTGTTGCTGAGGGCCTAGAGTCAGAAGAGCTGGATGTCAAGGGGTACGTGGCGGCAACACTGCAGCATCTGCTGCAAGGGGGGGCTTTGCTGGTATCAAGGCAGCGCATTAGAGTCACGCTGAGGTTTCCTCAGCACATGCAAGACGAAGTAATGAAGCGTTTAAGTGCCATCAGACCAGAAGTGACAAGCGGCATAAATACCAGAAGCAGCAGCAGCAGCAGCAGCGGGGGAAACTTTGGGTGGCCCCCCAAAGATGATGAGGGCCTCTCTTACAGAGGCAGCTCAAAAGCGTTGGAAACACCATGGCTTACAGGGACAGCAGCTGAGGGCGCGGGAGCAGCCGGTGGATCCCCCACAACAGCAGCAGATGGCAGCGCTGCAGCAGGCCCCCTCCTGCCTTCACGGCGTCATGTGGGGCGCCCTTCTGTGGGCGTTGCTGCTGAGGGCTTGACATTTGATGCTGCTGCGGTTGATATTGGTGGTGCCACTTTTTCCGCCGGCGCTGCGGCAGCAGGGGGAGCAGCGGGAGGCGCTAGCTCTGGCGATAGTGTGGTGGAGCTGAGGCTTCCCTTTTTGTCTGTCAATGATGTCTTTGTGTCAGATGTTAATGTAGCGAAAACCTTATATGCTGATCTGTGGATAGACGGGGAGACAAAAAGGCACAAGAGCTCAGGGGTGCTCGTTTCTACAGGCAAGCAGTTCCTGCAGCGTTAAAGACCGCCCGGGCAGACGCATTAGCAGCAGCAAAAGCAACACAAAAAGCAGATGCGCACCTTTAGTTGCAGACAGGTATATTTGTAAAACCGAAATAAATTGTAGTTGTTATTCTCAACTGCTGATGTGCGTCTACAGGTACCGGCTCCACTGCGTGGAATTACAATATGGGCGCCGTAGGAAAACAACAGGCGAAAGCGATTGTAGATCAGGTGCTTTCTCTCAGGCCCAAAATAAAAGGTCGGCAATTCCATTTCAACAGACTAATTAAATAGTACGCGCCCATAAAACTGATATCTAGAGTAAACATAAAAGCATCTGGTAACAGTTAGGGCGAAAAACGTAGGCACGTCCCGCTATTCGAAGTCGTATCCAGGCACAGCCGGTGTCTGTTTAGAATGCATTTTATTAACACAAACGCATTAAACTTTGTTTTAATTAGATGACAAATTAAATAGAGGGCATTTGGAACATGTGTAGCTTCTTTCGTACCAAGCGTGCATTTGCGCATGTGCCGTTGTCTTGCAGACATGGAGGGCCCCCTAAGTGATGCGGAGTTGCAGAAAGTAGTCCAAAAAGCTAACGAGCAGCTGCTGCTGGACCCAGCGGCCCCTTTGATGCGTTTTCTAGTTCGAGAGCCCATTGATAACAGGTACATAGAGTGTGCATAGGCTCAGAGCAGCCGTTTAGTGAACGATGCTTTGTGTCAGCATCTCTCAGTTTTTTCCCTTTGTTTTGTGTTTCATCTTCCCCTCCAGTTTGTTTCTTTCGTGACGACACGGCTGCTTCTGTACCTTACTTTTGTCGCGGTGCTTAGTTCATTTCAGTCTTTCCCTTTTTTGGGTGTTGGCAAGCTGGCTTGTGGAGTCTTGGACCTTAATTGAGTATTATGTACAAGTGGGCATCATCCTCTGTGATGCCTGTCTTTGCCTGGTTGCGTGTTATCATTGTAGGATTTTCTCTTGCGAGCGCACAATGGGCACGGGCCGCAACATTCGTATTAAGCCTTTAGCTGGAGAAATCATTTTGTCGATGGATGGGCTCGCGGAGCTCCCTTTGCCCCCGCTTGTAGAAATTGCACTGTCTGTAGACCCAAGTGACGCCTTGTGGACTGCAGAGTAGGTGGGGCCTAGGGTTTAGGGTTTAGAGTATGGTGCCTAGGGCTTAGGGGACAAGAATTTGGCTGGACAGCGTTGACTGCCAGGAGACATAGAGCTCAGGGTCCCTCACCAAAAGGGCTGTAGGAGGCGGTTGATGTTCCCCTGACTAACCATTAACAGTCAGGGCTTAGGGTCAAAGTTGACGGTTTGAGGTTACTACAAATCCGGGCCACCGCGGGTGAACGGGCTCTTTGATTTGAAATCGTTTTTTTCAAGCACCCAGAAACCTCGCCGTTTCAGGATTTGTGCAGAACGGTTTGCCTATGCTATTCTCTACTAGCTGGTTTCTCACACCTGGGGTGTCAGTACACCGCATCATCAGCAGAGTAACGAGTTTGTGGTTTGGAGCTTGAGCATATAGATGCATTAAGTTGAAACATACCAGCCGTTGAGTCTTGTCGTAGCCCAGAGCACAGGTACATCTGAGGAAAGGTACACGGGGAGAAACAAAGAAGAGAGCCGCGGAGAGGCAAACGAAACGGAAAAGAGGAATGAAACGGCGGAGGAAGTAACAGGGAGAGCCCTCTGAACCTCGGAGCCCTTCACACGGAGCCCCTTGGGCTTTTCTGATTCGGGAGGCACGAGACATGCCTGAACTACTGGGAGTGAAAGCAAAGGAAGAGAAGAATGGAGAGAAGGGAAACAAAAATATGTGTGTTAGACTTAGTCCTTCACAAACGATGTGTATGGCCTGCAACCACAGCGCGAACACTAAATGAAGAAAGTCAGTCATGTACAGCCATATACCTCCACTGAAGTAAAGGCAGGAGTATGCATGATTTTTCATTAGTTCGTACTAGATTTTGTTCGCCAGAGTTTGTGTTTGTGTGTGGCGGCTGTATCTTTTCCTGTTCGTTATTCGGTAGGTCTCTGCTTTCCTCCTTTTACTGTCTTTCTGCCTTTGCATCCTTTCTCTTCCCCCACTTTTCCCCTTTTCACTCCTCTCATTTCTGTCCAAGCCTCCTACTACTATCTTTTGCGTTTTCTCGCAGCTTATGCTTGGTATCCCATTTCCCGTATGCACTTTTATGCAGTTTGGTGACATCTGCGAAGATTCCTAAGCAAGCCACCCGACCTGTGCGCGAGGCACGGTCCAGGAAGGCAAGTGGAAGGCAGGTCTGGGTTGTCAAGGATTTTAGAAGTAGAGAATTTGAAAACGTACTACACAGCTTTAGTACAGAACAAAAGTAAACAAACAGAGGCAAAAATGCGATAATTTCAGTGTAGAGCACTGGTCTGCCTTCGCGCAGCACATGAGCTGGAGGCTAGGGGCGGGCAGGCGTAGAGAAAACCGCGTAAATTTCGCTTTAATTTGCTCCTTAAAACATCTAAAATTAAATAAATAAAATAACTTTAATAAAATTGATTTTTAATGATTTATTTACTCCAAAATCGGCCCCACAGTGCTCAAAGTGACAGGCAGCCACCGCCGACGGACCGGTGGGCACTCCCCGCCCGCAACGGCTGGCTGCTTGAGGGAGGGCGCTGGATGCCGCTGTCTGTGTTTGTTTTGTGACGATTAATACATTTATTTAATTGGTTTGCAGTAGCAAACCTCTTGTCTACTAATTTAAATACACTTTCCACCTCCCTGTCTTCTCAGCACAGCAACGAATACAGTGAGCCCAGCAACTGCACATACACCGCAACTGAACACCACACCACCACCTGACTATACACTTCAGCTGCAGCAGACGTGCCGCCAAACCTTTCCTTTTTTCTCCGTCCCTCTCAATTTGAAATGGGGGACACAAAGGCAGCAGAGCTCTGCTCTCTTCCACTCCCCGAGACCCGGGCCGCTACCAGCTGCAGCATCAGCAACAGCAGCAGCTGTATCAGCAGCAGCAGCAACAATGCAGCAGACGATAACAACTGTTACTGCAAAATACTGGTCACAAATCACCTTGCGGGGATCATCATTGGACAAGCAGGTCACGAGATCAGGGCCCTGAAAACCCTAACCGGGGCCAAGATTGTAAGGAAACACCAAATCTTGAAATCTAAATCCTGAGCCCCCAAGCACACCCTGTAGGCACTAACTAGCTGGGGAGCTTTTCTGCGGCTTCGGCTCGCTTGATTACAGCAACACGGCAACTTTTGCCAAACACCAAGCCCTAAGCCAGAGCTAGCCTGGGCTCTCAGTATTTGGTGCGAGTGTCAGCAGCAGCAGCATTAGTGCCTGCAGATGCTATACAGCTGCTGCCTCTAGAATAATAGCTTCCGCAGCACTTGTAGTTCTCTCAGTCAAGTGGCAAGCAGCCTTCGCGGAACAAGTCGTGTCCCCGTATTGTATTAGACTTGGTTTGCTTGTGTCAGTTGGTTCATTGTGATTATTTAATTGCCATTTGGGTCTCTGTCTTGTCTTCAGGTGCTGTCGCCCCATGGCATGTACTTCCCTGGAACAATGGAGCGCGTGGCGGCTGTCGAGGGCCCCGAGCAGGCAGTGTTTCACGTTCTAGACTGGGTGCTGGACAAGATGGCTGTAGCAGCAGCAGCAGCAGCAGCAGCGGGAGCCGCAGTGGGAGGTTCGGTGTCAGTGGCTGGTGAGTGTCCAGGCGGGGCGTCGGCATTGTTGAGCGAGGAACAGCAGCAGCAGCAGCAGCAGCAGCTGCTGCTGCAGCAGCAGCTCAGCACCGTGCGCATCTGCGTCCCACGGGCCGTAGTGGGCTCCCTCATAGGCAAGAACGGAGGCTACATTCAGTCGCTGCGTGTAGCTACGGGAGCCACAATAAATATATCTCCATTATTTGTGACAGCAGAAGAAGCCTGTGCTGAACGCATAGTATCTGTTGAGTCGAGAAAGAGACAAAACTTGAAAGCTGCTGCCTTCACTCTTATTAAAAAGATTAACGAACACCCGGACAAGGGCTGCTGCAGACACGTCTGCTACTTCCGCAAGCACTCCTTTGAGTCCCCGCTGGCCGAGCCCCTTGCAGCTGCTCGCAGTAGGCTGCAGCAGCAACAGATGCAGCAGCAGCAGCATCAAATGCAACAGCAACAGCAGATGCAGCAGCTGCAGCAACACAGGGAGCAGGAACTCAGAAGGCGCGCCGTTTCTCTCGTCATGGGGACTGTTTCCTCTAGCTCTATGTTTGATGCTGCTGCGGCCAACAGTGGCAGCAGCAACAGCAGCAACAACCTTGTTCCTGCTGCAGCAGAAGACAGTTTCGCTGCCGCCTTCAAGCGCTTCTGTGAAGCGAGAGCAACGGCCAAGGCAGCAGCCAAAGAAGCCCCTGCAGCAGCGGCAGCAGCAGCTGCTGCAACTGTGGCAAAGGCCAGAGCAGCAGCAGCTTCGAGGATCTCCGCAGCGGCAGCTGCAGCAGCAGCACAAGGCGGTGCTGCAATCGACGCAGTACCTACTCTCACACGCAACATGAAAGAGGTGATTGCTCAGGCGCGTGCCGCTAAGGAAGCAGCAGCAACTGCCGAAGCGACAGCAACAGCAGCAGCAACAGCAGTAGCAGGCAAGGGCCCCAACGAAACTGTGTGGGACTTCTCTGCATGCAGCACAGCAGCAGGCAGCACCGATAAACTACCAACTATCTCTGAGGACGGCAGCATTTACAATGCCACGATAGAAGAGGAGGAGACCAGTAGCCGCGCGCGGCTGCAGCGGCAGCAGCAGCAGCCCAGCCTTTCCCTATTAATCCTCATCGCAGTCTTTCTAGCAGCACTTCTCCGGATCGTCTTCAACAACTAAGTGAACCCAACAAGAAATAATTGCACACAACCCCGGGGCGCCTGCAGCTGCTGCCAAAGCAGCAGCAGGACTATTGACGCCTCGCGGTGTCTGTATTTCTGGCGAAATACCTTCACCCCTTCCTCCCCTCTACGCGTAGACAATTTTCCCGATAAAGGTAATAATGTCTTTTCGTCCTGCTGCAGCAACTGCAGCAGAAACTGCCGCAGCAGAAGCAGCAGCAACTGCTGCACCTGCAGCAGCAGGCGTGGAATAGCTTTTGGCGTCGAGGTGTTTCTGCTTGTCTTGCATTTTCGCAATGGCAGACAAATCATTCGTAGCAACAACCAAATCGTGTTTCTGTCTCTATGCAAATGCACAGGCATGTTGATACAAATCATGTGCAAATATATGAATATACATATGCAATTAAGTCTTACTTGTATATATGATTTTTCTATCTAAATAATATATATACACACATACACACACAAATGTTAGTGCGTGCATTTACTGTTGGGGTAGCAGCGGCACCACCAACCACAGGAGCACTGCTGCTGCTGCTGCGGCTGCGTTCCAGAGAGAAGGAAGCAAGTGGTGTGTGTCTGTAGCTAACTCATGTAGCGTGAATTGAAATAAATACTACAATGAATGAATGAGTATATTTTAGTACGTGCAATGCAATGCATTTCACGTGGATTCTTTATGTACACATGGGATGCTACCAATGCATTCTCAGTGCCGTATTCTGAGCATATTCATTTTTAATGAATACGAATATTTATTTACTTTATTTTATTTATATTATTTGCGCTGGGAAAAATTCCGCAATGCTGAACTTTAGTTTATTTTAATTTTCTTGATTGACCAAACAGCAGTTGCTGCACCGTAGCCACGAGAGGCACCGCACTAGCATTCTAGCTGTGGACCCGAATCGGTATATTCAGTAGATACTGCTCGTAGTGATATCTGTTTAGACGGGCAGCTGGCTATTCATGCAGTTGCGAAAAGGGGACCGCACAAGTGGAGATGCAGTCGTTAATGAATTAGATAAGCACCCCCTTACCCATTCAAAAGCGTTGCTGACTTGCATCTTAGCTGTGGGCCGAATCAGTATATTTAATAGGTATTGCAGGGAACTGATACGAAGAGAACTTACGCATTTAATTGGCTCTGGCAACGACTTGGTGGAGCTACCGATGAGCACTCCCCAGTCCCTAGTAAACTGCGAATTTTCAGCTAAATGTGCCATCGACCAGAAGAAAATTTTGTATTTCACATATAGTACGGAATCCTAATTTTCGTGCATACACATATGCATGTATACATCACCTTACGTATGCAAGAGGCCCGTGTTTGCTCAGCAAAATATATCGTCAGGCAACTACCCGAGTTCAAGACTCGTGGTTTAAAGTGCATGTACGGACTTCAAATGTAAGTCTGTGAATCATGTTCCAAATGCGGTCGCCGCCGTGCAAGTGACTCCATCGCTCAAATCTCGCATCCAAAGCACGTGTTTCGAGTCATTCTGCGTTCTTTGAACGGGATACCGAAGGAAACTTCATTATCTGTTACAAAACTGCCGCTACAGTATACCCCAGCGAGTAACCAAGGAATTACACAGAGGACGGCCAAATAGTTACGACAGTGAAGTAGGCTCAAACCGTTTTGTTCCTAGTTTGGAGCTGCGGGGCAAGGCTTAAAATTAGGACTCGGGTCTGCGGCAAAGCCCCCAAGCAGCAACCGCTGCTGCTGCTACTGCTGTTGCGGCAGGACCATACGGAGCAGTTGCTGTAGCAGCGACAAAAATGGCAGCAGCAAACACTGCACCGCGCTTTCCTTTGCCATTGCATTTAAATGTAGCCGACAAAGAAGGATCTGATGGAAAATGAAGGCCCCCAAGTGGCGGCGGCCAATACTAAGGGGCTCCCACATGATGGAAGGGACCCTCAGAAGACAGGGTTCCTTAAAATCAAGATCCTCCCTCTAGAAACAAATTAAGCAACGGGAATAACCTCACAATAAGGAGGCCAACAAATGAGGAAAAGAGTGGAGGCGGGCGACCCAACTGTAGGGGCTCTAAAGTGAAGCCACTAATAGGGTACCCCTCATTGAAGGGACCCCTAAAATGGGCCTTTAAATAGCAGGAAGGCCCTCAGCCAGTAATGGGGGACAATTACTGAAGGCGTTCCGGAAAAGTGTCCCTACAGAGCACGGAAGCACCTAATAAAGAAGAGGCCCCTGCAATGCAAGGGGTGCTCACAAAGCCGGCGTCAACACAAGGGGCGGTTTCCTAAGTAATGTCCTAATGTAAAAATACATACATATCTAGAAAACAAACAGTGTCCTCAGAGCAACGAGCCACATGCGACTGAGGTAAGCCGGAAGAAGCCTAATCCCCTTAAACAAAGGTTTCCAAACTGCAAACCCTGAGCTCTAAACCCTGTGCTCCTATGCGTCACTGGCAGACGGCTGAATCAGGGTTTATGGGTTTCAAGATAAACTGTTCAACAGCCGCTTCGGTGTGCTGTGCAAATTGTCTTCATCTAGGCTGACGCTTTGCTCCCCGTCCGCCGAAGCTGCTGCTCTTGCTGCAGCTGCTGCCGGTTCCGAGGCTGCCGCTGCTTCCGACGCAGGGTCCCCAGCTGAATCCGAAGCTGCTGCTGCCTTTTCTGCTGCTGTTGCCGCCTCAGTTGCTGCTGATCTCCCTTGTGAACTGACCCTTTCCTGCTGCTGCCCCGGGGGCTTTGACTCTGACTGAGCCGGTTCTTCAGTTTCTGGCAAACTGCTTTGATTCTCTTCCAAATCAGAAACACCTTGAGGACCCTCACAAGGGCTTCCCGCGGCCGCTGGCGCCGTCTGGAGCGGCCCTTCAAGGGGAGCTGATGGGGCCCGCGAAGAACCAGGGGCAGCTTGTGGGACACTCTCTGGGAGTACCTCTGGGGCCCCTGGGGCCCCTCGAGGCACTTCCTGAATAACAGCCTCTGGAGCGACTGAAGCCGCGTGGGGCGGTCCCTTAAGGGAAGCCTTTGGGGCCCCTGTGGCCCCTGGGAGGCCCCCAAGTGGAGCGTCTACGGCTCCTGGGACCACTGACGGACGCAGTGGTGGGCTGCCATCATCAGGTAAGGATTCCTCGTCGTCTGAGACTTCGAATACTTCGCTGGGCCTCCTTAGGGTTTCGAAGGCTTCTGACACGTGCGGATCTATTTCGACAGAAACTGCAGCAGTGGCAGCGGCAGGTGCTGCCGAAGCAGCAGCAGCAGCACGGGCTTCTACTGCAGTTGCAGCGCTTGCGGCAGCGAGAGGCAGCGGGGCAGCAGAAAACGCAGCTCTAGGCTGGGCGCCCTTCACCTTAAAGTATGCAGCGAGGGCGCTGCGCAACAGTCCACCGCCGTCACAATTTTGGGAATCGTTTTCGGGGGTCCCAGGCCCCAGAGAGGCCCCCAAACGCACAAAGTCAGCGGCGAGGGGCACTGAAGGCCCCTCAACAGCTGGCAGCTCGAAGACCCAATGTGCACTTAGAGTGCTCTGGGACGCGCCCCAGCGCAGCCCAGAAGGGCCTCCGTCTCCTCCTGCAGGCCGCGGCGCCGGCAGCAGCTCAAACTGGGCCCCATGGCCCTCACCTGCAGCAGACAGTGACAGGTATCATGTATCAGCCAAAAATCAGCCTTTATGACATTTGGACGAAGTGTGGGGACTCCAGAGATCACCCTGTGGGGCCTTGAACCGACAGCTGCGCCTCGGGTCTCACCAAATCTTCTGTTTAAGAACTCGCGAATGAGCTTTTGAACTTCAGATATGCCCGCATTCCAAGATACCACTGCCTAAGGAAAACAACAACAAAACGCCCGGGCCCACAGTCCCTTGGTAGCCCTGTATGTTAAACATTGCGTTTTTGGCGTCCCATCGACAGCCCTTTGCAAGGCCCTAATAGGATCATTCGAAGGCCTTTGGACCAGTAAGCTAAAGGGGAACCTAGCTGAAAATTCTGGCGAAAGAATTAGGCACTTTGAAGCCGACTCAGACAAACCCCGTAAGAGTCCCCTGCTACTTCCGCTGCTGTGCGAGTGGGCTCCAGCTGACCTCCGCAGCGACTTCAAGCTCGAACTCTGGCGCTGCTGCAGGAGTCCTCATGGGCCCTTTTGAGGGGCCCCTTCTTCCCTCAAGAGGCCCCAGTGGCTGCAGACGGACAGGCGAACCCTCGACGAGGCTGCCGGCTCCACGGGGGCCGCCGATGGTCCCACGACTGGACACAAGCGGGCCCCTCTCCTCCGAGCCGCCGTGCCTGCAAGCAGGCGCAGCCAGCCCTAAACTGCGAGCCCTAAGGCCAGAACTTAGTCGCAAAACGGCGAACTACCACGTTGCGGACGGAAGGCTCTCTACTATTGAAGGGGACTTGAAGGCTTTAAGAGCGTACGTGAAGGCCTCCTGGCTTGCAGACAGCAGCAACTGCCCTGCAGCAGTTTGTGAGTGCCGCAGCGGGGAAAGGGGAGGCCCTTGAGAGGCCCTGAGGGAGAGGGGCTGGCTCAGGACTCCTTGGGGGCGCCGTCGTAGCAATGACAGTGGGCTGCGGGGGCCCTCAACTGAGCAGCAGCAGCAGACCAGCACGAAGCAATGACGCACTGAGGATTTAAGCTTGCAGGTGAAAATCCTGCCGTTGTTTCTGGAGCTGCCCATGCAGAACAGCTTATATTTTAGAGTTAAAGATTGAGGACTCCCAATTTAGCGTCTCAGTTTGCCTCACCGCCGCCCCGAAGATCAAGGGGTCGCAGCAGGGGGCTGCCGGGGCTCTGCGCGGCAGCAGCAGGAAGCAGAAATGACAGCAGAATGAAAAGCACCGGCAGCACCAATAAAAGGTGGCAGGAGCAGCAGCAGCATGCAGCAGCAGAAAAAAAGACATTCTTACAGAAAACAGGAAACGCAACCCTTCTGCTCCAACAAAAGAGCAGCAGCAGCAGCAACTACACCAGCAGCAAATGAGCCTACGGTGACGTCTTGTGACTTCTGGGGCCTTTGGCACTCCTTCACTTCAATGAGTTGAAGCAGCACTTGCTTGCCTTCAGACGTGACATCTGCTGGCTCTGTCTCCATGCTGCTGCCGGTGCTGCTGCAGCTGCTGCTACTGTTACCGGGCTCTGGTTGCTGCAGTTCTGTGGACGAGACGCCGCCACTCGGCTGCTGAGATGCTTGGGCGTCAAACCAAATATCTTTGTCAACATCCTCTGCTTCGTCTTGCAGTTGCTGCTGCTGCTTTGCTTGCTGCTTATCCGTCTGCTTCTGCTGCTCTTGCTCTTGTTGCTGCTCCTCCTCCTTCTGCCGATGCTGCTTTTCGGGCTTCGGCTGCTGCTGCTCAATTGAAGCGCGAACAAACGGCTTTATGAATGACCGCAGCAGGGACACCACAGCGCCACCACTTGGCTGCACCTGCTCCTGCTGCTGCCGCTCCTGCTGTGGCTTCAATCTCGCATTCTGAAAGTCCTCCTGCAGCTCGTGTTTTTGCTTCTTTTGTTGTTGCTCCTCTTGCTGCCGTTTCTCCCGTTTCTGCTGCTGCTGCTGCTGCGATATAAAGTGGGCTTGGAGGAGGAGACCGCAACTGTGTGGTGCGCTACTGGGTGATTCTGGAAAAACCGAGACAGCAAACCCCAAACCCTAAACCATAAACCCTAAACATGTAACATGGATTCCTGAGCACTTGTCCAAACCTCGCAAGCGCCTTGCCACTGCACTGCCGCTCCAGCAGCAGCTGCTGTTACGCTGTTGTGTCTTACTTGAGAGGTTGATGAAGCTGAGGTGAGACAAATACTGGCTCTCTTTTGGCTGTGTGCTGCAGCAAACGCCCAGATGGAAGTCGTTCACGCAGTTGCCATGCACCACTGCAACAGCGAAAGCAGCAAGAACAGCAACAGCAGCGACGGCAGTAACAGCAACAGCAGCAGAATTCTCCGCTCCTGAAACAGCCTTACTCGCAAAATGTCAGAAGCAACCGGAATGCACCAGGGGGGCCTCCAGGATCTTCTTCTGCGGACACGAGGGCCTCTCGGGGGCACCCACATTGCCTAAAAGGTAAGCAAAACAAATAAAACAGCAGCAAATAGTGTGCCAGCAGCACCGCTGCTAGCGGCGTCAGCCGGCGGCAATGCAAAGCTCGCAGCAGCAACAGCAGCAGCAGCCAAGAACCAGCCACAGCAGGCAGCAGCAGCAGCAGCCGCGTTGTACGAGCAATTAGGAGGGAAGGAACCCTTCCAGTGGGGGCCGCCGATGAGAATTGGCTCTCTTGTGACTGTCATGCAGCAAGAATCGTCATCAGTATCTGCTGCTCCTGCTGCTCCTGCTGCAGCAGCAACGCGCAGGACTGCCACGGCATCCTGCAGCAGCTCGTCAGTCACGGTGGAGGGCTCTTTGGGGGCCGCCTCTGCCTCCTCCTTGGCGGCCTGTCCATGTTGCACCAAAATGAGGTCATCATCGTTATCTGCTGCTGCAGCTGCCGGAGTTGCTGCAGCAGCAGGCGGCAAACAAGCAGCACCACCTTCAGGGCCTTCACTCCCCTGCTGCTGCTGCTGTTGCAGGGGCTGCTGCGTCGCTATGGGCGATGCTTCAGCCAGCTGCAGCAAAGAGGCAGCTTTGCGACGAGGCCCTAAGCCTTCTCTTAAAGGTGACCCTGCGGGTGTGAGTGGGGCAATAAGGGCCCCCCTGACCAGCACTGCAGTGTTGCTGCTGCTGCTATTGGTAGCTGCTGCTCCTGTTGAAAGGGGGGATCCCAAAGGCTGCTGCTGCTGCTGCAGCAGCGCAAGGCTCTCTGTGGAAGTCCGAGATAGTAATGGGCTCAGGGCCTTCGGTCGGGAAGGGCGTTGGGTCCCTTTGTGGTTGTCTTCATCGTATTCCGAGTCGCTACTGCTGCTGCTGCTGCTGCTAATCATACTGCTGCTGCTGCTCCTCTTGCTGCTGCTGGTGGGGCAGTCCGCGCAATCCGCCTTTTCAGGGCCCTGTCGCACAGGGGTCGTCGCTCGTCGTCTGCTGTTGGGTGTCTTCACCTGCCGCTGTTGCTGTTGCTGCTGCTGCTCCTCTTGCTGCTGCTGCTGTTCCGTTGCTGCTGCTGCGTTAGAGGCCCTGTTGCTCTGCGGAGTCTTCCTTCGGCGGCTACTTGGCCGCCGTGCTGCTGCTGTAGAGCCTCCGGGGGAGGGCAGAGCAGCACCGCTTGACCCTCTTTGCTGTTTTGTCCTTCGCTGAGTTGAAACGCTTCTAATTGGTGAAGTCCCAACAGGGGCCCTCGGGTCACCCCCCTCGCCATCTACATCCATTTGGGGGGAAGTGCTGTTGGGGCGAGGCTCTTTGCCTCTGGAAGCCCCCCTGATATTGCCTGCTGGCGATGCGGGTGGCAGCAACCGAGTCTTCCGTTGCTGATGCTGCTGCTGGAGTGGCTGCTCTTGCTGCGGCTCTTGGGGCGGCTCTGTGGACTCACTTGAGAGGTCTGCAGCGGTGTTCAGCGCCGCTAGGCTGCTGCTGCTGCTCGTCTTGCTGCTGTTGCTGTTGCTGCTGCTGTTCGCTCTACGCAGCTGCAGGGGGTTCAGCGGCTTCAGGGGGGCCCCAGCTCGACACCCTCGGGGAGGACCCCTACGGGGGCTCCCCGGCAAGAGCCTAGCCCCCTTTGGTGCGCCTCCCATGGACTTTGGCCCGTCGTCACCGCATGTGTTGCTGCTGCTGTTGCTGCTTCTGTTGCTGGAGCTGCTAGTTCCGCGGAAGGTGCCCCTTCTGCTGCTCTGCGCGGCGGGCGAAGCCTCTCGAGGCAAAGAAGAGATGGAGGAGCCTCGGCCTACCATGTGGCGTCGCTGCTGCTGCTGCTTCGGTTCTGCTTTGCTGCTGCTGTTGCTGTTGCTGGTGCCCACGCTCCTCGAGGGTGTGCCGGCTGTGTGCGGCTCGCTGTGCTGCAGTGGCTAAGCGAGTGGAGGGCCTTGAGGTTCTAGTAAGGAAATACCCTGCGGGTGTACAGTGCTTGGAAATGAGGGTTTAGGGTGTCGGGGTCACAGCATTTAGGGCTAATCATGTCTGGGGGTGGTGGGGTTGCCCCTTTCTCCTGATTGGCTCAGCAGCGGCATCCCCACGCTTCCCCCAGCTTCAAGTTTGAATTTAAATTTAGGGTTTCCGCCTAGGGCTTTGTGGCTTTGTTAGCAGGGCTATAGGCAGCCACCGCAAGATCCGTTGCACGGGTCGCAGCCGCAGCAGCAGCCGCAACAGCAACAACAGTCCCAGGCCGATCGCTGCTGCAGCGCATGCACGAAAACACTGAAATGACGGACGCCACAAGGATTAGAGTCTAGTGTTTGGGCGGCAGTCTCGAAATACGATTTTGGGGCTCACAAAGACTGTTTAGAGCTCAGCTTTCCCTTTTGTATCAGTGGGCCAGTTGCCGGGTGCCTGCAGCGGACGACCTGATGAGGAGAGGCGGCGTCGGGAGCAGCAGCAGGAGCAGCAGCGGCAGCGGGTTCTAAAGACAGACTAAGCCCCCGCTACATTTTCTTCTGGATATCCTCCGTCTGCTGTCCGCAGCTGCAGCGGTAGCAGATGCGGCGGCAGCAGCAGCAGCAAGAATAACGAGGGCAACGCGCGGTCAGCGGCAAAGGCGACCAGGCAGAGCAGCATGCTGAAGTGGCACAAGAGAGCGCAGCACTTGTGGGCCCAGTCTTCTCAGGCCCGGCAGTGGAAGTACTGAGCATCCGTAATAGCAGCAGCAGCAGCTGCTGCTGCTGCAGCGGCAGAAGCAGCAGCAGCTGGAGTAGCAGCAGCAGCAGCATCGGCAGCAGAAGCAGCAACAACTTACGGAGCAGCAGCAACAGTAGCAGCAGCTGAGTAGCTGCAGCGGCAACTACGCCCCACCTGCTACTAATAGCAATAACCGTATTACTCATTGTGAAAGTAATACGAATACTAATACTTGTTCTAATACTAGCACTAGTACTAGTAGTACTACTACCACTACTACGAAGAGCACTAGAATTAGCGTTCGTTCGCGGCCGTGGCGATGTCGGAGGTCTACGTGCACGAGCCCTCCACTGCGGGCAAAGTGGTGATGCACACATCGATGGGGCCTCTGGACATAAGCCTGTGGCCGCGAGAGACGCCCCGGACATGCCGCAACTTCGTGCAGCTTTGTCTCGAGGGCTACTACGACAACACAGTCTTCCACAGGCTCATTCCGGATTTTATAATTCAGGGAGGTGACCCCACGGGCACGGGCGCGGGCGGCAGCAGCATATATGACGACCCGGAGGAGGACGACGCGGGCGCTGCGGGGCCCCCGGGGGGCCCCTCGGGGGCCCTCAAGCACAAGGAGGGGCCCCTCACACTTGAGCTCAACTCCAGACTCAAGTTCAGGTACCGCGGCCTTTTGGGAGCGACGACGTTCGAGGCCCAGGGAGGCCACAAGAAAGACCATGAAGGGTCCTCTCCGGCAGGCGCTAGGGACTCTGAGAGGGCCCCCGCGGCCCTGCGGGTGGGGAGTCAGTTCTTTTTCACCTTAGGGAGAGCTGACAGTCTGAATGGGAGGTACACTTTGTTTGGCAAAGTAAGTGGCACCTCGCTGTTCAATTTGCTGCGCATGGGGGAGCTGCCCGTAGACAAGAACGACAGGCCCAAGGACCCCCCACGAATAATTCGAACGGAAGTTGTGTGGGACCCCTTCGGCGACATTGTGCCCAGGGTTCTGCCGCAGCAGCTGCAGCAGCAGGAGGAGGTGAAGGAGGAAGAAGAGGAGCAACGGGAGAAACGGCCGCAGCTAGCGGCCCCCAAAGCTGCGCTGCTGTCCTTTGCGGAGGAGGATGAAGACCTGCAGCTGCAGCAGAACGAGCAGCAGCAGCCGAAGAGTAAGGCCCTTCTTAGCGCCCACGACTTGCTGGAGGACCCCAGGCTCTCGAAGGAAGCCCCCCCTGGGACGTGGCAGCAGCAGCAGGAAGCAGCAGCACAGAGGCTCAAGGCCCGCATAGCTCTGCTCGCCGCTAGTAGCGGCAAGACAGCAGCAGCAGCAGCCCCTGAAATCACAGATGATAGCAGCAGCAGCCGCAGGAGCAGCCGCAGCAGGAGCCACGGCAGGGGCCGCATCAGGAGCCGCAGCAGGAGCCGCAGCAGGAGCCACAGCAGGAGCCGCAGCAGGAGCCGCAGCCGCAGCAAAGAGAGCCATAGAGCCATCCGTCGTCCCCTACCCCTGCCACCCACCCGCAAAGATATTGCTGCTGCTGCTGCTGCTTTGCCGGACGCTGACTTGCTGACGCCTGCGGAGCAGCGACGTCGGTTGCTGCTGCTGCAGCAGCGGTCGCAGAGCACCCAGAGGCGGCAGGCCGAGACCCTGGAGAAGTTGCAGGCATTCCGGCAACAGGTGCGCCCAAACTCTAAATCGTAGACTAAAACCCTAGATCTAAACTGTATACCTAAATGGGCACTAAACCCGAGACCCTAGAAACCTGCGTTGCGTCGTGCTGCTGCTGCGACTGCGCTCAGCTACAAAAGCTGCAGAGCAAAACCGACAAACGCAATAAAACCAGCAGCAGCAGCATCAGTAGCAGCAGTAGTAGCAGCAGCAGTAGCAGCAGCACGAAGAAGCGAGACAAAGCTTTAGAAGCAGCGAAGGGAGCTGCAGCGCGAGCGACCGAGCCGTTGCTCGGCCACCCTGTGGCTGAGTCCGCTGCTGCTGCTGCTGCTGCAGCAGCGGAGGGACCCGAAGCTGCAGCAGCCGTCGCAGCAGCAGAAGAGGAAGACGACTCAGACCCCTCGTGGTTCATGACAGGTGGCCTCACGTTTGCTGTCGACAGCAGCACCGCCTACCGCTTTGATGCAGCAAGGGACAACTTAGAGGTGAGGGACCCCCTAAAAAACAAACTCTTCGCGGATGACGCTAAAGCCAAACTCAGAAAGAACCAGCTGCCCTATGACAAAGGGCCGCGGGAGCTGGGGAAGTGGTAGCAGCGGCAGCAGCAGCAGCACATGCAGCCGCACCTGTGGGGATGCAGCAGCAGCTACTGCGACCAGCGCTGCACCGTCACAGCCAGCAACCCGTGACCGACCAGCAGCGAGAGCTGCAGCAGCATTGCTCACAACAGCACTACATATGTGGACACGTAAGAAACAGATAAACCTAGCAAAGTCATGTTGGTTAAGAAAAAGGCAAAGCCAACTAGTGGCTTCTTCTGCCGCTGCTGCGTGCTGCTGCAGCAGGAGCTGCAACAACAAGCAGCAGGACCTGCAGCAGCAGCAAACCAGGAGCGGCGCTTGGGCGCCGTCCCAAACACCCTGAGGTCCAAGGGGCCCCTCATAGCTGCTGGAGCAGCAGCAGCCGCTGCCGCAACTGCTGCTGACATAATTTCCCTATTTGACTCTCAGTTTCGTAAATGCTTACGAGCGGTGGAGTTTACGTAGTTCTCGACAGCCCCTGCCGCTGCTGTTGCTGACACCCCAGCATACTGCTGGGACCGCAGCAGAAGCAGCAGCAGCGGCGCAGGAGTCGGCGCCGCTGGATGTGCTCTGCCTGACTCAGCGGCAACAGCTGTTCAGCTATTATGCAGCAGCAAGGCCTCCCCCATTAGGCCGATGCTACTGCTGCTGATTCAGGGAAAGGCTCTGAGCACTCCGTTACTATTCTGCGGTCGCTTCCGCTGCTGCAGCATCTTGTTGCTGCTGCGTCGTGGACGGTGCCAGGCACGGCTCTCCTTGTTCCTGCTGTGGCTGCTGCTGCAGCTGCTGCAGCTGCTGCTGCTGCTGCTCCTGAAGTGGCGGTGGCTCTTGTTGCTGCTGCAGACCTTGCTGCAGTTGCTGCTGCTGCTGCGCCTGTTGCTGCTGTTCGGTCTTCAGGACCTGCTGAGCATCGGCATGTTGCAGCAGCAGTAGCTGTTGCTGAAGTAACTGCTGCTGCAGCAATTGCTGCTGCAGCAGCTGCTGCTGAATCTGCTCGGTGAGCTCCTGCTGCTGCTGGCCGTCCTTGAGCGGCAGCAGCTGCAGTGCCGAGCTGTTTGTTGCTTGCTGCAGCAGCAAACCGGAGTCCTGCGGCGGCAGCGAGAAGCAGTGCAACGGGTCCTGCCCCACAGCAGCAGCAGCAGCTGCCGTATCCTTCACTCCGGCGTCCGTCTGCTGCTGCTGCTGCCCGGCGCACGATGCCAACAGGAGTTCATGCTGCAGCAGCAGCCTCTGCTGCTGCCGCAGCAACGCCTCGCTGCTGTTTGTGTCTTCTGCTGGCTCCCTGCTGCTGCTGTTGCTCTCTTGCAGCAGCTGCTGCGCTCCCAGCAGCAAAGGCTGTGTTGGTGTAGCAGCAGCAGCAGCACCTCCTCCAGATGTTGCAGCTGCTCCATCGGGGTCACCGAGGGCCGGCTGTTGCTGCTGCATCTCTGCTTCTCGTTTCAGCTGCAGAAGCATCTGTTGCTGGACTGCCATCTCCGGCAGCAGCAGCAGCTTCGGGTCGTAGTCAATAAAAGACATGGTAGGATTCGCACCTGCTGCCGCTGCAGCCGCTGCTGCCTCCGACTGCACGGCCAGCTGCAGGAGCTGCTGCTGCTGCTGCTGCAGGCAAAATTCTTCGGCCCTTCTTTGGGCATCTGCGTGGCCATACTTACGTACACTGAAGCGCCGCACAACCTGCAGCAGCAGCACACCGCAAATACCAAAAATCATTACTGCTGAAGCTGCTCCAGCTGCTCCTGCAACTGCGCTTGCTGCCACTGCTGCTGCAGTTGCCGCAAAAGTACCTGCTTCCCAGTCGCCTTATCTGTGACGACACCTCGCCAGCAGCCCCGCGTTGATTCAAAGACAACACCCTTAACTCCGCTTTGCAGCCGTTGTTGCTGCTGCTGTTGCTGCTTGCACGCCGCTGCTGCTGCTGCTGTTGCTGCAGCCGCAAAATCGTCCTCCGAGGATAGAGGGCCCCCGCACTGCTGCTGCTGCTGCTGTAGCTGGGCAGCCAAGTCCGCATCACCCGTTGCTGCTGCCGCTGCGGCATAACAAATCAGCAGCAATACCACGCACTGGATCTACCGCAGCAAGCTGACGTCGATAGACGCGAGGGTTCACGGTTTAGGGCTTGGACGGCCTTGGGGGATTCGCCTCTTCAATTTGGCGCCACGAGACTGGCGCTCTGCACGCTAGCGCTAGCGCCGGTGGCTTAGGGTTTGGAGTTTACAAAGTAAACTTACCCTCCTTGAGCTCCTTAGCAATCGACTCAGCCAAAGTTTTGGCTCTCAGAAACCCAAACTTGTTGACTGAAAAGCAGCGCGAGTACTCTCGCCCTGCGCAAACCCCAAACCTTAAACCCTAAACCTTAAATTTTAAACCTTAAGTTCTAAACATGAAACCCTTACCTCTAAATTACAGAGCTGCACTTCCCCGACAGGGCACCCTCAGTCGCAGGCCGTAAGCCCGCAGAAGGATCCATTTACATGAACCCTAAACCCTAAACCCTTGCGCTTAAACCCATACCTGTCTCAGTGTCTTTCCAGCGAAAGCGCCAGCCACAGTGAGGAGTCGCCCTGAAGGAAACCCCTGGCACATCACTTAGAAACTTCGCATCACCTGCTGCAGCAGCTGCCGCAGCTGCTGCTGCTTCGCTGTTCCACTGGGCGTTGCTGTTGCTGCCCTGCTGCTCCTGGAGCAACGCTGCTGCCGCTGCTGCTGTTGCTGCTGCTCTCTCCTCCAGCCACAATGCAGTCGCAGACGAACATCGCACCGCATCGCGGGCTCCCTCCCCAACGTCGCTGCAGCAGCCCTCATGCTGATGCTGCTGCTCTGCTGCAGCAGCAGCTGCTGCGGATGGCACAGCGGAAGATGCCGTCCCTGACACTTCCGCTGCTGCTGCTGCTGATGCTGCTACGGCGGCGCTGCTGCTGCTGCTGGAGGCAGCAGGCTGCTGCCCCCGCACGCGTTTTGCTCCTCTTGACCTTGGTGCCCTTCCGCCATTGCCGCGTTTGGGAGCCTGCGGTGCTACTGCTGCTGCTGTGGGGAAACTGCTGCTGCTGCTAATTGGACGCCTGCAGTAGCGCACAGCAGCAGCGAGCTGCGCCACAGCATCCGCTGCCACGCCTGCGTGTTTTGCTGCCAAGTCCGCTGAGGCTGCTGCCTCTTTGGCCGATGCTGCTGCTGCTTGGGTCGCCTGCAGCAGATTCAGAGACTCTTGCTGCAGCAGAAGACGCAGGTCCGAGCCGAGCAGCTGAGGTCCCAGCGACCCTACAGCTGCTGCTGCTGCTTCCGCAGCAGCTGCTGCTGCTGCATTGGAAGCACCCAAATCACCAGCAACAGGTGCTGCTGCTGCTGAGGTGAAATCGACTGCAGCTTGCCCTTCTGCTGCAGCTGTTGCTGCAGTCATACGGGCGCTTCCCTCCGGAAAGAAACTGTTCACTGCTGCTGCTGCTGCCTCCTCCACAATAACAGGAGGGGATGCTGCTGCAGCTGCCTCTGCTGCTCCCGTTGCCGCCGCGTCCGTTGTGGTTTGTGCTTCCATTGCTGCTGCTGCAGCTTCTGCTGTTGACACTGCAGCGGCAGCCTCGCTGCTCTGTGTATCCGTTTCGACTGGCATTTCTACAGCAGTGACAGCACCAACGATTGCTGCGGTTTCCTGCACGTTGCTGCTGCTGCTGCTGGCAGCAGCAGCACTGTCTTGTCCTGCCGCCTGCTGAAGAAGACTCGGCGAATCCACAACAGCAAAAGCAGCAGCAGCTGCTGCTGCTGCTGCTTCAGGCGTGCTGGGAGGGTCTGTTGCTGCTGCAGAGTTCACAGCTAGGGTCTTGCTGGTGCTGCTGCTGCCCCCGTTGCTGCTGCCGCCGGTACCCGGACAGGAGCAGCAAGAGGTGGGCGTACAGCTTGCCGTAGTGGTTTGGTCTCCGTCCGCTGCAGCAGCAGCAGCAGCAGCATGAGGCAGCCAGGGCGGCGCGACTGCAACAGCAAGCGCACCGGCAGGTGCTGCTGCTACTGCTCCCTCTGTCCCGTCTTCCCCAACGGAAACAAGCGGCTGCGGCTGCTGCAGCAAAAGCTGCTGCTGCAGCAGCGTGTCCACTTGGGACATCTCTTCAACTAGCAATCGCCCACGGCTTCTGCTGCTGTATCGCTGCTACTGCCTCTCCCAGTGCCGCTGCAGCAAACAAGTGCTGGTTTTGGAAAGTAGCCCTTGTGTCCAATTCGGCCGCGAGCTGCGCCTTCCGGGCAGCCCATTGTGTACCTGCAGCAGCACCTGCTGCAGCTCCTGCTGCTGGGGCTGCGGTGGGCCCTGCTGCAACTGTGAGGCGGCAAGGCGGCAGCAGAAACAGCAGAGAAACGGCAGATTGATTGACCCAAAAAAGCTCTTTTGAAGCGCGCCTATAAGGCTCAAAGGGACTCAGACACACGAATCGAAAAAAGGATGGAAGTGAAGTCACGAAGCAGCAGCAGGGGGCCCCTCCAACGGCAGACTGTGCCCTTCAGCTGCAGCAAGAGCAGCAGTTTCTGCAGGCTTGCTGCTGCAGCAGCTAAACAATAAAGAGCAGACTGAATACAGCAGACCGCTGCGGGTGCTATACTTGCCACCTTAGTTGCTCCTGCGGCTGTCGCTGCTGAACGAATCCCAGGGCTGCCGTCGTAGCTGGCGTGCCGCAAAAGGCAGCAGCTGCTGCAGCTTGTGCTTAATCACGCATTATTTAAAGTTTAGAGTAAAATAACTCTAAAACGTATAAAAACCGAGCAAACGAAACACAAAACAAGCAGCCCCCCACCCCGTTGCCCTTACGGGGGTCTGCAGTCACTGCGCGGGGCGCCGGTGGGTACACGGGGCCCTCCCAGCATATGCTGTTGTGGTTGTTTTGTTCTAATTGTCCGCTTTGTTTCTCCTTAGTGCCTGTTTTTATCCCTAAGCTTTGCCAATACCCCTTATAAGTGAGCTCTGTGACGTTTTCAATATCAACAAGTTAGGTGATGCTGTAGTTTTGCAGTAGCGGCTACCACAGCGAGAGCAGTACCGGCACTGGCTAGGGCATACACTGCAGACCGTTTCATACTACCTTCAAAAATTTTACCGGTTCTTTAGAGGGTTGGCTTTTACTATTTGCCTGTTGGCTTTGCTGTTTGGCCGCTGTGTCTCCCGGTACCGCTGCAGTGCGGCAGCAACGCCAGCCACAGCCTTTGCTGTTTCTGCCGTTTCGCTAGCAGCCGCAGTTTGTGCAGGGTTTAGTGCCCCGCCAAGCCTCCCAAATGATGCAACGCCTTGGATAAGCAAAGGTAGTAGAAACTCAAGGCCCGAAGGAGCCCGCTCCTTCTCCCTTCACTCATCTCTTCACAAGACTACTATGCACCGTGATACTTGGAGTCTAGTTCAGCCTAGGGTCTACGGTTGGTACCCCTGAGCCGCAGGTCTGCGCCTCCGAACTTCAGCTTTAGCTGCCGCTAAAGCCCTTGGCTCTCAGTCGTGC